CCAAATTCCTCACACTATAATGACTGCTTTCCAACCTACCTCCTTGTCAATTTCTCCCAGACTCATCTTGGTTTCTCAACATTTCACTTTCCCCACCTCTTTTATAAATCGGTAAGTTTTTAAACCTTTGTTGACACACATCTATTAACTTCTTCATTTGAGTAAATGTTTGAATGTAAATAATTTACCACCTCCATCTTATTTGGAAAGAGCCCCCCCCCCCCCCCCCCCCCCGTGTGTGTGTGTGTGTGTGTGTGTGTGTGTGTGTGTGTGTGTGTCCATCCCAGTGCTGGGATTAAAGGCATGCGGCACCACTGCCTTGCAAAATAAACTTTTTTTAAAAAATGAAATAAAACAAAAAAAGTTTTAGAATCTTTAAAACAAAAAAGAAAACTAGAGATGGAGCTACAAAGGCTGCCTAGTGGAATCTATGGTTACTGTGATGTCCATGGCTTCAAAATGGACTAGTGGGAAAAGGCCTTAACTTGTAGTGTGTGTGACAAATAAATGCAAGAAGGATATCTAGAACTTTTGGGATCTTATAAGAAGAGTCAGAAAACTGAGATATGATAGGTGGGATAGGGGAGGGAGAAAGTGGCTTGTATTTTGAAAAAATGAGTTTATTTGTGGTGGCATGAATGAGAATCCCCTTCATAGACTTCTATGTTTGAATACTTGGTCCCAATTTGTGGAACTATTTGGGAAGGATTAGGAGGTATGGCCTTGCTGGAGGAGATGTGTAAAAGCCCACCCCAAGCCCAGTTTCTCTCTCTGACTATGGATCAGGATGTAAAACCCTTAGATACTGCTCCAGCACCATGTCTGTCTGTTTCCTGCCATGATGATCATAAATTAACCCTCTAAATCAGTGGCTGTCAACCTTCCTAATGCTTTGACATGTTAATAAAGTTCCTCATGTTATGGTGACCCTAACCATGAAATTATTTTTATTAATACTTTATAACTGTAATTTTGCTACTGTTATGAATTGCAATGTAAATATCTGATATGCAGGATATCTGAAATGTGACCTCTATGAAAGGGTTTTTTGACTCCCAAAGAAAGGGGTCTTGACCTACAGTTTGAGAAACAATGCTCTAAACTGTAAGCCAGCCCCTAATTAAATGCTTTCTTTTGTAGATGTAACCAACCATATTATTAAATAAGAAACACAGAACCAATGTAAAAGAGAAAGCCAAGAGGTCAGAGCTCAGAGCTAAAATCTTACCTTTCCTCCTAGCTTCCTGAAAGAGACCTATTTCCTGTGTGTATGTCTTTAAATAGTCTTTCTGTTCTGCCTTCTCATTGGTTGTAAACCCAA